CAGCATGCATCCAGCATCTGGAGAGCTTGTCAATATGCAGATTGTTTGGCCCTAGCCCCAGCGTTTCTGATTCAGTAGATCTGGGGTGGGGCTCAAGAATTTGCATTTATGCTCTATAAAGCAAGTGACATCAAACTGAACTTGTCTTTAAATAGGTGTTACTTGAGAAAATTGTAAGACATGGCAACTGACCTAGGAATGACCCTCATCTAGGCATTTGCAGGGTAGCTGGTCTCCAGAATGACACAGCAGGGAAGGTACAGCCTCTGCTGCCACTAGGGTGAGTCTCAGGAGAGGAATCAAAAGCAATCAGCCAAACTTGCTGTGATGCCCTTGCATTTAGTGATCCAATAAACTGAGAAAGTTTCAGCAGTTACTTTCCAGGAGGCTCTCTTTGGGGCCAATTACCTCTGGAGGACGGATGAGAAACACTAACAATTAAAAGTGCCACAGGGAGAGAGAGAGGTATTTATACTCTGGTGAGGCTCTTAGCCACAGGGGAAATTAGGGAGCACCTGCATGTCCTGGATAATGAACAATTTAAAAAGACGCAAGCACTGAGGACCTGGTCCCTAGGGGAGGATGCGAAGGCCTGAAATGCTTAGAAACTTGAGCCTTAAAGAGGAATTTTCTGAACTGAAACAAAAATGCAGATGAATTTAATTTCCCAGAAGGCTCAGTGGTTAAGCTCTCATTATAGAAACTCTGTGTATGACTATGTGATTTGGGGTGAGGCCAGGTGCCACCTAATTAAAGGACCAACCATATGGCAGGAGACCCATTTACAGAAAGCAAAGGATAAAAAACAAAAATATAATCTAGGAAGAGCTTTTGCTTAATAAACGACATTCTTTTGTCAGGTGTCTCAATAAATGTTTTAAGCATGGCCTGATGAGGACATGAAGTCATAAATGACCCAATCTGCCCTATTTCAAGGGGGGGTTGAAGTCATCAATAATGAGTATTAGCTACCTTCATGGTGCTTTCTGGTCATCCTATGGATAGGATAACTTCTTTTGTATCTAACTTACATGTCTTCTGGAAATATGCCTGTATTCTATTGCTCTGGTCTCAGGCAACTTCCCCATCATAATCATCTGTGGGCAGTATTCACTAGCTGACTGTTCTACTCAACTAACTCTCATGCTTCTTTGGCTACCAGTACTATATAAATTTACCATGACACACTTTAATATGATTTAGATTAAATCTCAATAAAAAATCCTGCTTAACTAAAGTACAATCTGGAAATGAAATACCTAATGATTTGTGAAAAGCACTGACCAAGCTTCACTGAACAAGCAAATCACTACAAAGTACTTTGCTGGTGGATTATGTCAGTGCTACTATATCTGGGTCTATTGTCAAATAAAGTGTACCCTGTGGGTGCCAAGAAAGTAAAGAGATCTAACAGCAGAAGAACTGAGTCTCTGTCGGGGGGCAGTGGTGATGATGTAGAAACAACCTACAGAACTTGCAGAAATGGGACCTGAATTTCAATTCCAACTCTGACTTTCTAGCCATGTAACTTTAAGAAAATTATGTTACCTCCCTGAGGCTCAGTGTTTCCATCTATAACCAAGAAAATGTGGGATAAAAATACCCTCACAAGACTGTGGTGGGGATTAAGTGAATAATAGCTAGGAATATGCATAATAACATGCCTGACATTTAGATGAGTCTCTGTGCTGGTGAAGGGCAGGATACATGGGATTATTTCCACTCCCTCTTGAAATACCGCCAACACGACAGTTAAAGAATTATTTAAAATAGAAGCACCCATAAGGAATAAAAGAAAAGGAGAGGAGATGCCATAGATGAGATATCAATAAAATCTTCCAAAATTGTAAGTAGGTCTAAGAGTGGCGACTAGCTTGGCAAACAAGAAAACCAAAGCCTGCATTTCTCCAGAAGGGAGGTGCAAGACAACTCAAGCAGGAGAGAACCATAGCATCAGAGGGGCTCAGAAAGTGAATGTACAAGATGGTCTTCAAGGTTGGAAACAAGACTGGCTGAAAGTCTGGAGAGCCGTTAGATGATCAGACCCCCTCCTGCCATAAGAGGCAGTGATTAATTCTAGAAATATCAAACCAGAGAGTCTCAGGCACTAAAAGACCTAAAATATTAATTAATATTAGTCAGGGGTCTCCCAGCAAAATGGCTAGAGCATGCTACTTGAGTACCATACAGTTGAGTCCACCAGTCGACAAGTTCTGCTTATACCTACAACTATCTCTCTGTGACTATCATAAATAAATAAATAAATAAATAAAATTTTAAAAAAAAGAAAAAGGTGCCACTTTCCCATGGTCTGTAAATGAAGCCATGAGCGAGAGAGATACCCCAAAACACTGTAATCACTTCTGAGAGATCACCGGGAGGGAACTCTGCAAAACTGATTTGTGTGGAATGTGTCCTTAAACGTGCCCAGCAGAAAATAGCTATAGCTAAGACAAGTGAAGGGTAATTGAGACTTTGAAGTTGGACCTGTACTGAATCCACAAAAGCATCCAAGAAGAAAAAAAAAAAAAGTTAAACATCTGCCAGGTCCAGAGAGCAAGACACAAATTTATGACGGTACTAGGCAGGTCAGGAACTTCGTGCCCTCCAGGCTCATCTTCCTCCCCCCCTGTCTCAAGGGGTCAAATATCAAGATGAGCAACAAGGTGAGGGTGGTGGATGCTAAAGGCAGAAAAGGACATATAGATGGTCTCCAGCTACATAAAAGGCCCAACCGGCGGAGCATGGTAGTCACTTCATCTTTTATTTATTTATTATTTATTTATTTGTTAAGTGGTGGTCACTTTAAATAAGTCAGATACTTTAGCTATTACACAGATGGAATTACCCAAGGACTTTAGTTTTGTGTTTTGTGTCTGAAACTGATTTTCTATTTAGGATTGTTTATTGAGAGTCACTGGAAAAGACATGGGACTGCCCAAGTTTTATTTAGGAGAGAGGTAAATAGTTTCCCAACTGGGTTAATTCAAAAAGGACAGGAAAAAAAAAACAAACAAAATGAAGAAGCTTTCTGATTCCAGGCGTGAGTCATACTTGTTCTGAACAAACATAAAAAGAAGTCAGAAAAAAAAAATATCAAGGTAATTTAGAAGAAGGGGGAAAAAAAAAAAACTTCCAAAGAGAGAAAAACAGATTGCACAGAAAGGATCAGGAATAAGAACAAAATCCTAAAGCCTTCTCAAGCATAGAAGCTGAAAGACAGTGAAGCAATGTCTTCAGAATTACAGGAGAAAATACTTTCTTTTGCCTAGAATTCTATGGCCAGGCAACTTAAGGTAGACAACAGAATAACAATATTTTCAGATATTCAAGGTCTCAAAAGTATTACCTCCTATTCATTCTTTCCTAGGAGCTGTTCCATCCAAATAAAGGTAGTACCATGTATTAAAAAACTCGGGCATCCAGGAAACAAGGGTCCAAAGGAAAAAGGCAATCAAGCAGTAAAAGGAATTCCCACGAGAATGGCCCAAAATAAATGCTTCACAGCAGCCCTGAGGAGAAACCATTTCAGGCCAGGGCAGGAGGATGGAAGTCTCCTGGACTGGACGGATGTCTCCAAGACAAAACAAGTGGGACTGACCTACTACCAGATGTGGCTGACCTTTTGAGAATGATTTCACAGTTCTGTCAAATAAATTACAGCTAGGTACGATGAAAATTAAGCTAGTGAAAAAAGAAATCTAAATGCTAACTTCAAGACAAAATTTATATGAAAAGAATACCATGAGAGGAATACTAATTTTTACTGGTCTCCATGTGCCAGGCACTGTTCTAGATACTGTACTGCTGCTGTACCCTAAAATCCTCATAATTACCCTGTAAGGTAACATTACAGGGTAGGAATTATTACTGCACCCATTTCACCCATGAGGAAAGCAATGTACGGAGGGGTTAAATGATTTGAATGATATCAGATAGCTAATAAATACCTCATCCCAGACTTGAACCATGTAGCCTAAACTCTAAAATCTGTGCTCTATTATAACCGTAGTTTGCCACAAGGCTCAACAATGAACAATATTTTCATGGTTGTCAATCTTTACACATTGAACGCTAGTCTGACCTATAATTATGACCTGATTATATATATATATATATATATATATATATATATATATATATATTGAGAGAATAGGGGGGAGGAAGTATGTTGAGGTAGTAAATCCTCATCTTTTCTGATAGAAAGTTAATACATGAATGAAAAAAAAAGAAAGTTAATACATAATGGTTAAAATTAGAAGAAAAAAAGTCAATCTATAGTAATATAAGTATATTCCTTAAAATACACAATAGCAGAAGGAAAAGCTGAAAACATTTGGAGAGAATAACTGGATTTGGGGGCAGAGAAAGGAAAAGCAAAGGACTGACCCTTTTCAGTATTACCCTTAACATAATATTTGACCTTTTATTTATTTTTTTTTTTAAATTTTTATTTATTTATGATAGTCACACAGAGAGAGAGAGAGGCAGAGACACAGGCAGAGGGAGAAGCAGGCTCCATGCACCGGGAGCCCGACGTGGGACTCGATCCCGGGTCTCCAGGATCGCGCCCTGGGCCAAAGGCAGGCGCCAAACCGCCGCGCCACCCAGGGATCCCAATATTTGACCTTTTAAACTATGCAATTATATTTCCTTAAGAAACCAATTTAAACAAAATTTATAAATATTAGGGAAAGGTAAGGAGAGATGGCATCTAGTACTGAAATGGGCACTTGGCTGCTAGTGGCAGGAGCCAGGGGGATCCCTAGGTGGCTCAGTGGTTTAGTGCCTGCCTTCGGCCCAGGGCATGGTCCTAGAGTCTTGGGATCCAGTCCCACATCAGGGTCCCTGCATGGAGCCTGCTTCTCTCTCTACCTCTCTCTCCCTCTGTCTCTCATGAATAAATAAATTAAAAGAAAAGAAAAAAAAAAGGAGCAAGGAACACCACAGCAGACTGAGGAAAAGTGCTGCTGGTCCTCTTCTAATGACCCGGGACATACCTTCTGCACCAAACACCTCTCCGCAGTGAGAGCAGAAGAAGTGCTCTGGGTGCCAGGTTTGGTTCATTGCCGTCAGCACTCTCTGGAAAAGGAACACACGTGAAGATATTAGGAAACCACCGAACTATCCACCAGGACCACCATGCTAAAGCAGGGAGGGGGGTACTTACATCCAGGATGGGGGCAGCGCAGTAAGCACAGCGTGGGGAAAAGAGATGGTGGTAGTCCTTGGAGCAGTAGGCCAAGCCACTCCGCTCAAAGAAGGGACTGGAGCCAATCTCCTCTTTGCAGTGAGTGCACACAAAGTGCTCTGGATGCCAGGCTTGCCCTAGAGCATGGATCACCTGCGGAGGAAACAAAATATGGCCTGCCACTGCGGTTGGCTGCTGGAGGGCCTATAGGTTGCACAGTTCCGGGCAGCATTTTGCACACTACATTCTATGTGAGCGGTGCCCCCTGGAGTTACACAACTCAGAGGCCTGGCCCCAGGTCCCACCTAGGTGGTCTGTCATATGCGCTCTGCGGGTAGTGAAAGGGTGCCCAGTTTCCTGACGAATCGTGCTGATGAAGTCTGTAAATGTTCATCAGCAAGATACTGCTCTGGAGGGTGGGGAACCAAAATGGAACCCAGTCGTGACAGACAGGGATAACTAGAGTCTGGCCTGGAAGGGATCCCTGGAAGATGAAAAGGCATAAATGACAGTTTGTATTCCTCTGGTCTCAGCATCTCATCTCATGCCCCATGCATGGCCAGAGCTAGGGGCCTTTTCTTGTGGTTTTGGTGAAGGATGATGCAGAGCAGGAGTTGTGGCCATGATTTGGAGCCAAGTCAGCTGACCGGGAATATTGGGATAGAGGGGGCAATGGCAAAGCACCCACTCCCAGGTCCGGCAGTCCAGAAAAGTGGTTAAGAGTCACATTCGGGTGTCAGGCTCTCCCAGGCTCAAATCTTCCCTCTACCTCTTTCTAGACCTGGGACGTGGCAGTTAACAACCCAGAGCCCTTGGTTCCCTGGTCTTTACCAAGGAACAATAACAGAGTCTCCCTTGAAAAGATCATGAGACCATTAAATGAGGGAATACTTGCAAGCCCTTAGCTCAGGGCCTAGAGCATGGTAAGGGATGAGTGATCATTAACTATTACTAAAACATCTTAGGAGAGAAGGCCATAGAGTAATCCTTGGTGGGACAGAGACAGACATACACACAGACAGTTGGCTACAGGACCAACATCTCAGCCCGTCCCACCTTTCCAGCAATTGGTTTCTGACAGGAAGCACAGTGGCCCTTGGGCACTGCAGCAACTCCGAGGTCCTGCAGATCCTGTTCCAAACCCCCCAGCATTGAGTCCAGGGAGGCCTTGGGATCCTGCTTGTTTGCTATGTGTTTCTTGCTGGCATCTTCTTTCATTGCAACCTGGCACCAGGGAAAGAACCATGAAAAAAATCAGTCTTGTGTATATTTCCCCTCACTGTCATCTTCTACACAACCTCACAAGCTCACTTTGACTGACCAATGCTTTCTTCTGTACCTGACCTCTCTCCAAGGCAGTGGAAGAGTCCAACGTTGGAACACCAATAAAAATGCTTTCATCTCCCTTTTATCCTAAATTCCTCAGGCCAGATAAGATATGAGTAATCTTCCTCCATTTGTAAATCTTTTCTGACCATGAGAAATTGAGTGTATGAGGATAATACCTTTTCTCACTTCTACAATGACCACAAGTCAACAATGAACCCTATCTTCTTTTTACCCATTTATTTTGCAATGTTTATTGAGCACCTAATTTGTGCCAGTCACAGCCCCAGGGTCTTGGTACAGAGCAATGTACATGATGACCAAGAGTCTGCTGTCTTGGAGTTTACTTTCTCTGGATGACAGACAATGAAGGATTAAATAAATATATGATGTAATGTCAGGTAGAGATAAGACATAAGTTACATATCAAGATAGAAGTGACAGAGGGTGGGGCAGTGAGACAGAACTGATTTGGATGAGGGTGATCAGAGAAGGCCCTCTAAGGAAGGGACATTTGCACAGATATTTCATGATGGGTCCAGGAATACTGGGAAAAGCATTCCCAGTGGGAATGAAGGCCCAGAGGAAGGGAACAGTTTGTTATGGTAGGAGAAAAGTCAGAAAGGTTGGGGGTGATGGGGTATTGCAGGAGCAGAGGGAGTGAGAGTAAACGTGGCAGGAGAACACTATGGAGAGAGAGGCAATGATCCCAGGGGGCCCTCATGGTAAAGTCAGATTTTATCCCAAGGGTTATGGAGACTCTGGAGGAGTTTAAGGATGGGAGCGAAAGAATCTGATCCATTAGACCCCTGTGGTAGCTGAGTGAGGAATTGAATGTAGGCAAGCAAGAGTGGCATCAGAGGCACTAGTTAGGAGGGAGGTCATTGTTAACAGTTCAAACCAGAAATAATAACTTGGTCCAGTGTTAGGGGAGAAGGCGGTGAGAAGCTGTCAGATAATACCTGCTGATGGATTGGATTTATTTAAGTAAACCCCCAAAACAGTTATCATAATCTATTCAAAGGAAAAGCCTCAAATTACAAAAAAAGATGCCCTGCTTGTCCTTCATCACGTCATGTCCTGATTCTGTCTCTCTCAACTCCTTTCTGACTGGGGTACTACTATCGACCTAATACTTCCTGATCAGGAAACAGGTGCTCACGATGTCCTCCACGGCATCATATTTGCACGCACTAGACAGACATTCAAAGTCTCCCCTCCGCTGCCCTCACTTTACCTTTCCAATCTCATCTTTCATTCCTCTCTAAAAGCCTCCATTGTTTGAGGCCAGCCAGGCTCCCTGCAGTCTCCAGAATGTGATTTGTTACTGTCTGCCTTCAGGCCTCTACGTATCCTATTTTTACTGCCGGGAACAACCTCACATTATCTCACTCATCCAAAAATGCTCATTTCCCTTCAAGAAACTTATCAACTGACAGATTTCCTTCCTCCTCTATTATATAACATTACTTAATGTTGAAGAGATTAGTGTTCAAAAAGGTTAACGTCTGGAAAGCCCAAAAGGGTTGTCAATATTAAGGAGGTAAAAACAGTTTTATATGTATATACACATCTACCTATACACACACTATATCTATCTATATCTACATCTATTTACTTATATACTCCAGCATATTTCTGAATGAATTTGTAAGAAACGGGTAGAACTGGATGGTTGGGCACAGGGTTGACAGGGAAATAGCTCACTGCAAACTTTTGTACTTTTGATTTTTGCACGATGTGAATGTATGGCCCATTCAAAAAATAAACAGATATTTTTGAAAATGTAAATAAACCATGACATATGCCAAATCAGTTAGGAAACACAATTAAAACTCCTAATATAGATTTTTCCCCAGTATTTTCAGATAGACATTACAAGGAGAAATGCACCTAGTTTTATTGCAGGCATTAAAGAAAAATTTGTTTCTGAGGTTCATTCATTTGTTCCCCTGATGAGTCAGGAACTGTGCAGGCATTGGGAGTCCAAAGGTGAGCCACAAAGATAAGGTCCCTGACCTCCCCAGTCACACACCTTTTTATAGACTGCCTTGTAATGATTTCAGAGCCACTCATGTGTGCATATCAAATCCTCCAATTATTTACAGTGGTTGAAGTCTCCACCTTAAGAATTCTAGACTAGTTCCCTTAATAAATTATTAAGCCCACTTCTCTGATTTCTATCCCTTGCCAGACCACGTGAGCTCACCACCCATGCTCTCAAGGCTAGAACAAGGAGGCGGGTCTTATCTCAGTATGGGGCGCAGGACTCCCCATCCTCCCTACTTTCAACGCCATGTTCTGATCGTCCTGGCTCTGCCTCACTTTGCCTTCTTCTGCCCGACTCAGGCAGGTCTCTAATGGTCCTGCCACATTTCATCGCACGTTAGATGCCTGCGCCCTCACAGCTCATGCCAACTGGAAGGGCCTCTTCTCTTATCTCTTTATGTCCAAACCCTTTCCACTCTTCAGAGTCCATCCCACATCCCATCTCCACATTCCTAATGTTTGCTGCACATATTTTGATAAACCACCTGTGTTTTAGTCTCTGGATGTTACACGGGCTTCTGCTTCATTTTACCAAGCACATTCTATACTCCTTGAGATCAGAGCCTGCATCATATTATCTCTTGTGTCCAGATAACACATAACACAAAGTTGAGCTCACCCACTGAATTAAATTTAGTCTGAGAAAAATGAATGACAACCAAGAGTTCTAAAAGCAGATGGCAGAGCTGAGCTCCAAGGAGACACACCCAGGAACTGTGCTCACCTGGGTCTGCATCTCACACAGGTGGGCCATGAGCTCATCCAGCTGAGCAGCTGCTGATGTTTTAGGAGGATGTGGTGTTTTCTTTGGCTCTTGGACTTCACTACAGGGAGAAAAAGAATCCTAACACATCAAAACTCAGATAAATGTTCAGTCACACATAAAATACCAGAAAAAGCAGTTTTGACTATTAACCCCTTAGATGTGAGTAAAAACTAGAGAAAGAGAGTATTTAAAAATCGGTAGTGGACTAAAAATCTGAACAAGGTCTTCCGGTCTTTTGTCTCTATGACTTGGTTCTGGTCATCTCAAAAACTGACCATTGTTCTCAAGTGCATGAAGAAAGGTGCTGGATGGGTAGCTGGCAAGACAGTCTCCCCCAACAGCCAGGTGCGAAGCAGCTTCTAAAAAAGCCTTTGAAGGGCACCTGGGTGGTTCAGTTGGTTGAGTGTCTGCCTTCAGCTTAGGTCATGATCCCATGATCCCTGGGATCAAGCCCCACATCAGGGTCCCTGCTCCTCCCTCTCTCTGCCTGCCCCTCCCCCGCTTGTGCTAGTTCTCGCGCTCTCTCTCTGTCAAATAAACAAAATCTTAATAAAAAAAGACCTTTAAGACAATGGCCAAATATACATTTTTTAATTTTCAAAGCGTTCTGTTTAAATTATAAAGTATTACACCTTCTCTCACTATCAGGCGAAAGATAAAAACCAAGTAAGAATAAAGAGCAAACATCAGCAAACTAAGGTCCACAGGCCAAATGTGGCCATGGCCATTCACTGACATACTGCTACTTTCTTACAGAGTTGGATGGTTTCAGCAGAGACCCTGTAGTCTGCAAAGCCTAAAATATTTACTGTCTGTTCTTTATAGGAAAAGACCACTGACAGAGTTTAGACAATGTACATGGTGTTGGTTTTACATTTACATAATTGTGAATACACTGATGAATAAAAGTTGGGCCCAAGAAACAGAATACAGAGTCGATTCAAACACTTGCCCAATTGTTAGTAAATAAACTGCACGAGAGCACAGAATAAAGCTCAATAAATTCTAAGAAGTAAATCCTACAGATCATATACTTCTATTGCTTTAATGAAAGTACAAATTAATCATATGAAATCTACCTGCTGAAGAAAAAATAAAGCACTTCCAAATAATTCTTGTGATGGAGAAAAAATATAAACTGAATTTTCAACCATTTAGAAATAGCAATGAAAGCACATATACACACACATACCCTTCAGAGTGAAAAGCAGTAGGTTATTAAAGGGAGAAAATAATAAATGGACTCAAGTGCATATTGAAAAATAAGATACTAGACACAAATAAACAAAACAGCCAACTTAAAAATCTCAAAAAAAAATACCCTAAAGTAATTAAACAGAAGGACTAAAAGCATAAATTATTGAACAGAAAACAAATAGAAACTGATTTTTTGGGATGCACTGTATAAATTTCAAGGATATAGAAAATATGGAAAATCACCAAATAAGTTCTATAAATATCACAGAAACGCAATACTATAATCAGACAAAGAGAGAACAGTGCATGCTTGTACATGTGTGGGTGTGAAGGGGGAAGAAGGAAGTATAATAAAAACAGCAGAAATATGTTTTAAAAACATCCTGGCTACATAGTGTTATGCCCGTCTTTAAAGCACGGTTCAGCATTAGGAAAAGGATTACTATAATTCATTATACTGAAGAATAGAGAAAAGCTTTAAAAACATATTGATAGGTCCTAAAAAGCAGTAGGAAACAAACTTCACCACCATTCCTGTTATTGAAGATCAAGGAAAAGAAGTTTCATAACCTGGTAAAATATAAGAAACCTATAATGAATCTCATATTTAATGGTCAAGTACTAAACACATTTCTAATTAAAAGAAAAGCTTTGTGCTCAGCAGGAAGTCTGCTTAAGCTTCTCTCCTTATCCCTTTGCCCCTCCCCTCCACCTAAAATAAAATAAATACAATCTTAAAAAAAAGAGAGCAGAGGACGACAAGGATCCTACTATCATTGCTGGTCTGCAATATTACTGCAGACTGCATTATCAAATGCATTTAAAAATAAAAATAAGAGATTTATATATTAGAAAAAGACAAAGCATTCTCATTTCTATTTTCTCTTTTAAATAGATGGTATGATCACTTACCTGGAAAATGTAAGATAAATGATTGGATAATTATTAGAAGATATAGAAAATATCAGGATGGCTATTAGATACAAGAATAAAACAAAGGGTTGCCTGGCTGTTCCAGTGGGTAGAGCAAGACACTCTTCTCTTATTTATTTATTTATTTATTTATTTATTTATTTATTTATTTATTTATTTATTTATTTATTTATTTTTAAGAAAGAGCATGTGCAGGAGCATGAGCTCGGGCAGGGGTATGGGGGGAGCAGGGGTGGGAAGAGAGTGGGAGGCACAGAGGGAGAGAGAATCTTAAGCAGGCTCCACACTCAGCCTGGAGCCATATGCAGGTCTGAGATCATGACCTGAGCCAAATCCAGAGCCAGACACTTAACCAACTGAGCCATCCAGGGGCCCCTGAGCATGTGACTCTTGATCTTGGGATTGTGAGTTCAAGCTCCACACTGAGCACAGAGCCTACTTAAAATTTTAGAATTAATTCATTAATTTTTAAAAATTTAAAAAGAATAAAATGAAATAATATCTTTCCTATATACCAGTGATAGCCAATTCAAAAATCCCCTGGGAGAAAGGAACATATTCAAACTACCAACCAAAAAATGATAAAATATTAAAGAATAATTCTAACAAGAAATGTTAAGACTTCTATGAAGAAAAACCCACCGGCAGACATACAAGACACACATAAATGATGATGCATAATATGGTATCAGTTTCTCTCATTAAACCATAAATTCAATGTAATTCATATAGAAATACTAATAGAATTATTCAAGTTTATTAATAAGCTGATGCTAAAATTCATGGGCTAGAACACTCAAGATAATTTGGGTGGGGAAAAAAAAAGAGATGAAGAGGGAAGACCAGTTTCAATGGATGTGCTCTCGTATAGAGTGACAATAAAATTTGTGTGATGTTGGTAAAGAAACAAATAGATGAAAGGAATGGAACAGAGAGAAAGCCTAGAAACAGACTCCTGAACCATGAGAATTTTGCATATGCTAAATGTGGCATTTCAAATCATCAGAAACAGACTATTAGACACAAAATGCATCACAACCCATTTGAAACACAATAAATTTAGATCTTTAATTTAGATTCTCTACACATGAATAAGTTTTAAATGAATCAAAGAAATATGTTTAAGCATAGAAGTACTAGAAGAAAATGGAGGACTTTTTTTATAATTTGGGGTGATGAAGACTTTCCTAGGAAAGGCATAAAACTAACGTGAAGGCAAAAAAGAAAATGTATCAATAATTTCAAAAAAATTTAAACATACATAAATATTTAAAACATAAATAACATCCAAATATTAAAGTCTACAAATCAATAAAGCAAGCTAATAGAAACATGCTCTAAGGATTAAAAGAAAAAAAGTTAAAAAAAGTAAGTTTCAAAGAAAGAAATTTGAGTGTTTATCACTATATAAAAATATGCTCAAGCTCAATCTTTAATATGCAAATTAAATAGTGAGATACCAATTTTTACCCATTATTCAAAAATCTGAAAGACTGATAACTGGCAGTGTTGGTAAAAAAAGTCAGGAGTATCATACACACATACATTTACACATTTACATACATCATAGATAGCTATGTAAATTTATTAAATCCTTTGCAAGGCAGTATCTATCAATATTTCAAATGCAAATATCTTTGGATTCAGCAATTTCATTTCCAGTTTCTATCCTACAAAAAAACTGGAGATACATATACAAAGGTATATATACAAGTATATTCCCTAAAACATAAAAAAGTACAGCCTTTATGAACAAATTAAAAATAAAATAAATGGACACATAATTAAATAAGTTGCAGATATATGCTACACCATGCCATGCAGTTGCTAAAAAGAATGCAGACATAGATTTATGATGTACAAAGAAGATTTCTGAGATACATTGTTAACTTAAAAAAGCAAAGCCCACAACAATATGAAAACTATCCTTCCATTCACCTAAATTTGCAAGCACAGATACGTAAGTGTGAATTTGCACACACAAAAGTCTATAAGGAGACACATCTGACAGCAGTTAACCTATGGGGCTAGCAATTAGGAGATAGGATACATTCTAAGGGAGGTGGTCTAACTTTTTACTCTGTATATTTCTGAGTTATTAAAGCTATTTTTACTATTAAAAGGGTAAATATAAAATTAATATAAGTAAAGAAAAATTTTAACTGCATAGAAATACAAAGAAAAAATTAAAATCACACACATGCTTCCTTTTAAGAAGCAATTAATCACTCTGGACCTGTTGGCTCGCTTATAACATTAGGCCCTTCTGATTGTGCCTAATTCCTAATTCTGGAAAATTAGAATGACTTTTTTTCATGTTTTAAAGTGAACATTTTCCCATATATTTATCTATTTTCTCATTCAGCTTTGTCTTCATAGCTAGTGCTTGTTGCCCACCCTATGCCAGGCTCTCCATAAACAGTTTTACACATGTTCTCTTTAAGTCCTTATAACAACCTTAAGGGCTAGGTATTGTCATCCCTCAAAAGAAAAAACTGAGACATAGAAGTAAAAAGCTTTGTTCTATGTAATATAACCAGTAAATAAGAGAGTTTGGGCCTACAGACTGCAAAGCCTATGTTCTCCAGCACCACAGTAAACTATACTCCAAAATGACGTTTAAAGACTATACAGCTTTCAAATGTAGAATGTACCATAATTAAACCATTCATCATTAGTCACATAGATTGTTCTGAATTTCATTGTTATAATACAGTAAACAAATATTTTCACCCATATTTGATTGATTAACTCCATAGAGTAAATTTTAAGAAGAATCACTGAATGATATGGTAGCTGACTCTGGAGTAATATTTGTAATCAATACTAAGCTTAGCTAACAACCCACCAAACTGACTCTGACACACCCTCTCTTATGCATACACACACACAAAGCCATAAATAAAATCAAATATTTTAAGTCTTCCACTAAATATATATTCAAAAAGGAAAACATAGATGTACTACTTTACTTACTTTTGTGTATTTACCAACCAGCAAAAAAGTAAAAGGAAGATCCCTTCCTCTCTTAAGGAAAAAAAGACTGTCATTTGGGTATAACATGTCCCACTACCAACTTACTTATGTTTGAGTATTTAACTATAAGAACAATATAGGAGGAAGTGGATACCTTCCCCTCTGAAGAAAAAAAAAATTTTTTTGTCTTTTAGGTACAACATGGCCTCCTGCCAGGCATATATATATATATATATATATATAATTATTATTATTGTTTAATTAATCTAGGAACAAAAATGGTCAGGTATGCAATTGTTTGATTTGGTCCTTAGAGGCTTCCAAGAAGGTGCAGGGAAGCTTTTCACAACACTTTTGGGTTTTTTTTTTTTTCCTAAGATTTTATTTGTTTATCCATAGAGACAGAGACACAGACAGAGGGAGGAGAGCCTGACATGGGACTTGATCCCAGGATCACACCCTGGGCTGCAGGCAGCGCTAAACACACTGGGCCACCGGGACTGCCCACTCATAACACATTTGGATCACAATCCCTTAGTCATTGCTGCCACAGGTGTGTGTCTTTAAAAGTACAAAAGGCAACAGGACTGTCAGCACATTCTCTGCTCTGTTTCCCAGTGTAAAATAAATGTAGCTTCTTATAGGGTTCTGTATAATTCTAAAAACCTGTCCATCTCACTGTTGGGGCATCCTTGTGCTTATTCAAAAATATTCTTACTGATTTTTAGCATGACTCCTAGAGCAGTATGGAAAGAGAAACATTATTTTTGTGATACCCTAATAGTAACTGAGCCAATACTATAATATTCTAAATAAGAATGGAAAGGCCTTGAAGAGTTGGTGATTACATCACTACAGGAAGTGTTCCTAAAAAGAGAGGAACTTCAAAATCAGAGCCTCTTTGATTTGTCCTCTCACCTCTTGAAGATGGTCAAAGTGCTTTGCTATGTCACAAGCAACAGTTTAATTCATGTGTCAGAGACCTTAATAACATACAAATACAAGAGATGTGTTTAAGAGAATACAGACTCTCACAGGAGGGACTTCATGGTGCTGCAGTTTTCCCCTGTTAATTCCTCGGCAATGTTTTTATGAATTTTTTCTCCTTGTTCTTACCAAAATTATTTTTGTTCATGCACACATTTCTAAATTATTGTTCATATTGCTATCGATATATAACTACATTAGAAATGCTATCACTATACTCACTGGTACTGAACACAGTTTCAAGGTTGAGAGCAATGTTCAGTTCATTGAAGCAAGCCAGAGGAAATGGGGGAGGCAGAATATAGGAATCTAGTTTCTGAGTCTCAGGCTCTATCTATATCTACGAGCCTTATCGACTCTGAGTTACACCAGCCACAGGGATTTGTATCAGTCTATTACATATTTACCAGGCCACCTGGATTTCCTATCAACGTCCCACACAGATTGGCATGGCAAGTAGCATTCAGTACTTGGGGAGGTGTATCAGTCAAGGCCCACTCAGGAAAATGCAAATATGCTGGGAGTAAGCAGAAGGAATTTAATCCAGAAATTTGATTACACAGGTGATGGCAGAACTAAAGAAACAAACAGAAGGTATTGAGGTAATTCAGAGATTAGCCACAGTAGGTAGGCATTAGGCCAAAGGGACAAAAAGAAAAGAAAAGGGGAGGGGAGGGGGGGAGAGGAAAAGAAAAAAGAAAAGAAAGAAAAGGAAGGGGAGGAGAAGAAAAGAAAGAGAAAAAAGAAAAAAGACAAGAAAGGAAAAGAAAGAAAAGGCAAAGTTCTGAAAAGCCAGGGGCCAAGGTGGATAGGCACAAGCTGGAACCACAGCAGACCGGCCGTACTCCCCGTGCTCCAGCTGAAGCCATAAAGGAGGTGTGACTGCTGACCAGATGAGACTCTATGGAGAGACACTAGGGCAGGAAATGTCCTGACTTGCCCTGCCTTTCGCCCTCCAGGCTCTGCCTGCATAGTACCTCCCATTGGTCAAAGCCAGCAAAAGCCAACTTATCCTGAGCCTGGAAAACCCAACTGACAGGGGTCAGCTCCCCTGGAACACAGAGCAGAGCAAGAAAAGAGAAAGAAATGGGTCTGATGGGAAAAAGATCAAAGACTGGCTTGCCACACTGGCATGCCATCAGTTGATCACAATGCCAGATATACACTGAAAATCACTGTTGGTCATGCCGGTTTTTTATGTTCTAGGTTCCTGTATTCACTAATATTTCTCTTGAAGTCTTGGTTTCCTAGCTTTTAAAAACCAATATTTACTGAAAGCCTATGTGCAACAGGCACTGTTTTGTGGGTTTGCTTGTGGTTTTTGTTTGTTTTTTGTTTTTTTGTCTATCCAAGAAGGATAGACAGCGTGGTCTAGGGGACATCCCCCCAGGCGCTCTGCTGGAACTGGAATAAACTGGCAATGATATTAATAAATTGGCCTTGCTCCCATCAAAGCAGAAAGTGTCATCAGGTGGGAAGTTATAAAAAGACTTCATGATAACACAGGTCCTTCGCTTATTTGGTGTCATGTGTGAGCACTATTGGCTGCAATTCTAGAACCAAATAAGGTATGGTGTGGTACTCTTTACCAAACATGAGCCTTCGCTATCCTGTTTCCCTTTTAATATGTTAAGCCTTTCAATTTGTTCCCCAGAAAGCTGTTTTTTTAAAAATTACCTGAAGAGAGAACAAGAAAAGCAGCCTTGGCCAGCAAAAATGTTTTAGTAAGTGGATCTGTTTCAATATGCAATGTTTTTAGAAGGAAATTCCCCACCAGCTAAATTAATCTTGAGCAGATATAGAAAGAAGAAGTACAGATTCATTAGAAGTATATATTTGTTAGTCTGCTGCAGAGTCTCTCTTGTCTTGGTTTGACCCTGATCCTAGCTCTGGTTTTGTTGGCATCTTGCTGATATTTCACTAGGTGTTTCCTCTTCCACGAACTGGAGCATGCTATTTTAGAGTAGCCCGGACAAACCACGTGTGGTGACTCAAACTATTTACACTTTTTTTTTGGGTGCTGAAGGAAAGAACAGAGCCCACCAACCTGGATAACCCATCTAGAAGCCACATACCCCAAGAAACTGCCAAGTGAGTTCAGCAGAATTCCACCTCTGCTCAGAAACTTAAGGAAACAGGAGGAGGAAGAGTTCTAATAATGAATATATGCAAAAGCAAATTGTTGTCCAAACATGGACTGATAACAATCATTTAATAATTTCAATTTTTTAAAAGTATTTAATGAAAGACATACCTGTAGATATTGCACTCCTGGATATGTGTAGTATATACAAGCTGCACCTAAGACATGTGAGAGAAAAGAATGAATCCTGTTAGTAGAATGTCAGCACTAATCTACACCCAGAATTAGAGGATGTTTTTAGTTTCTAAATGGGACTGATAACTAGCATATCTCTGAGATCTTCTTGCACAAGATAGAGGAATACCAGCCATGCCACAGCAAAAGGCCACATTCTAAGTAGAGCAGTCGGCAATGTGAACAAATAATAGTGTCCCTCTCCCTGCCCTAAAAGCACTGACACAAAGAAGTTGATCGTACTCACATAGGAACCATAAAACAAACAAAATGAATCAGAACAAAGCCCGTTAGTTAGATAGGACGGTGTCTAGGGAAAGACTATAACATGACTAAATTTAACATACAAAATAATAATAATAATAATAATAATAATAATAATAATGAGTGTCTCCAAAGGGTAGTTGTTGACCAGCAACTGATTCAGTTATTGAACCAATATTTATTGACTGTCTGTCTGTGCCAGGGCCAGGGGGATGCAGCAGTCAAAAAACAAAACTAAATGAACATACAAAAGTTATCTACCCTGGTCTTTATATTGTGGTGGTGAGAAATAGGTAGTAAACAAATTAAGAAGAACTCATCGGGGATGGGGGTGGGGGTGGAAGATGGGAAATGGGGTAGAGATGGCAATTAAAAATATATGGGTCCGGGAAGGACTCACTGAGAAGGGGGCACTTGAGTGAGGACTCCTAGAAGGTGAGGGAAGTAGCCAGATTATCAGGGGGACCATGGTCCAGGTAGCTAGCACCCTGTGGAACAGAAAGGAGACCAGGGTAGCCTGCACAGTGGATTGGTAAGACTGGGATGGGAGTAAAAGGGACCAGAGCAAGTGGGTAGAGTGAACATAAAATTCATTGTTCAAAATGGGATGTTCTTGAAAGTGAACGAGGGAGGGTACTAAAAATAATGAATACTATATAATTTTTTAAATATGTATTTATTGACCAAAAATTTGATTTTCTTGTACTAATGGACCTATAAGATAATTCAGTTGAAAACTTATTTTCAAAATAAAATTTTCTAGAATATATTTAAATGACATGCAGCTATAAACATTAATTTTTAAAGATTTATTTACTTATTTTAGAAACAGTGCGTGCAGGGGAGGTGCAGAGGGAGGAGGAGAGAAAATCTCAAACTGACTCCCCACTGAGCATAGAGTTTCTAATGTGGGGCCTGACCTCATGACCCTGAGATCATGACCTGAGCCAAAATCAAGAATCTATGCTTAATCTACTAAGCCACCAGGTGCCCCTAAACATTAATTAAAAAAAAAAAAACTTTTTATATTAATTATTTGAACATTTTTAAACAGCACAGTAAATAACTGCTCTTGATGTAGATTCATATACTTTAATTGGTTACTTAGCCATTGTCTCTTATGCTGTAATATGGAAATTTTTCAGAAAAAAATATCTTTTTTAATATGATTTTATTATTTCCATATTTTTAAATAAAATTGCAAACTTCCACAATGCTGCATTTTATGGTTAATATATTTTGAAGTTGTTGACACTTTTAACTGATGCTTCTCTGTAACCCATAATTCTTTTAATTGAGAAAATACTCCTACTCCTGCTGCTGCTGATCCTCTAAATTTAGGGCAAATTCTACTAAGTGGAGGATATTCTCAATTGTTTCTCATATTAAAACCTATAAATATTTCTGCCCCAATATTTTCACAGGTGCTGTATTTCTGCTCCATCTAGAGCACCTTTCTTCAACAATATTTTTACAAGATACACTCTTAAGTTGTCTCTATTCGTGATTCTTTTTTAACATTTTGCCAAATGTAGATACTGCAAAATCATAGGCCTTCACAATTTCATCCTATTCTGGTGGAGAATATAAATTTATCCAATTAAAATTAGAAACTCCATCAAAGGCAAGATTTTTCCAAAGCACAATTTTCAAATTAGGTAATTAAGCCATTTGAGCTCTCATCTTTTAACTTGTTCAATTCCTCCCCAGCTTTTGTCAAGAGACATTTGAGCTCCTTCCTTTTTGCAAGCTTTGTTTTACATAATTGCAACTTGCTAAAAGCTTCAAAAGCCCAATTTTCATGCTACATTCACTGAATAATTTGATTAAATATTTCTGACTGATTTTGCACATAATACAACCTATATTTAAGTTACTTTACAAAGTGTTTTTTCAAAGTCTTGGGCATTTCTAAAATCTGATGGCTGACAGGCAAAACAGAGAAAAAGCAGATGCAACCATGCTGAAATGTTTCTGTATTCAACACCAGCTTCGGTCACAAGAGCTTTGTAGATGAGTTATATATATGTACTCTGATTATGTAAGAATATATTTGTAAATTTTGACATTTGCAGTTTCTATTTTGATTGGTGGAATCCTGGAGCTTGTTTAGATGCAGTCATGAATTTTGTGGACATCACAACCAATTCGAAGCACGTTTCTGCTTCCTAGATTTTTAAGTCTGTAAAGAACATTTTTTTGGCCATAATTCTGTGCCCAAACAAAATCTGTATTCATATTATCACCCAAAAACCCCCAAAACCTCCCCAAAATCCCTCACTTTGTCTTCAATGTTGAACTTTTTCAACTAAATTTACAATGACATTAATAATACCCAATGTTTCATTTTTGACAGAATGAATTTCCAAATGCTTTATTTCGATCCTTTCAGTTGGATGAAAAAAATGAAAGCTTTTGGAATTAACAAGTTTTCTAACTCAGGTGGCACAGGTGTAAAACTGACATTATCTCCTGGTTTGCCAAAGGAGTCAATTCAATCGTCAAGTTTACTTTAGTTAAAAGTACAAGATATCTTGAAGCTGAAAATGAACAAAAACAAATGTAGGGGTGTCATTTGCTCCAGATGGAAAGGTGTGCTTCACCATGACATGTGAACATACCTCCTGTACATGCTAAATCATTGGGCACACGCTTCTTAAACTATTAACTTATGAAGGGGAGGCTGATGCTTCTTAACCATAGTTGTGTCTTCCTGTCTTCTGAGGGGCAGTAACATATCCACTTGCCTCCATGGTTGCCAGGAAATGTTGGCAGGTATTTTGTGCAAATTACACATTCGTCATCAATTTCTTGAGAAAATTAAACATGTAATTTTGGATTTTGGATTTGGTTTTGCTTTGAGCCAATGTTGCTAAAAGCATCTACTACAAAAACAAAAGCATTGTCAAATAATAAAATAAATAGCGATAGCTTTACATATACAGTTAAGGACAAAACTGCTTTACCAAGAGCATTTAGGTTAAACTACACTCAATGGCCACAATGCTTAGCCTCTTTTTCCTAAACATAATTTGTGGTACATCAAGCCAGAGTTTCCCATATTTTTTTCTGACTCTGAGGAGGCTCCATGCACCTCTTGAGCACGAGTGGTGGTATACCTAGTGGCCAGCTATGCGAAAAGCCTCAAAAATTTTCCTGCTGGGATCCCTGGGTGGCTCAGTGGTTTGGCGCCTGCCTTTGGCCCAGGGCGTGATCCTGGAGTCCCAGGATTGAGTCCCTCATCGGGCTCCCTTCATGGAGCCTGCTTCTCCCTCTGCCTGTGTCTCTGCCTGTGTGTGTGTGTGTGTGTGTGTGTGTGTGTGTGTGTGTGTGATGAATAAATAAATAAAAACAATTTTTTTTTCCTGCCACCACCCAAGATCAGAGGAGTTGACTGTCCCTGACTGTGCTTAAGCTCTTAGTTTTAACAACCAGCACCCTGCATATTGTCCCTGAAAGGGTGCTTGCCAGTTAGAATCTGTCTGAATAGGATCAGGGAAAAAAGAAATGAGTTATCATTAGCTATCTTTTGGATTTAGCCATAATAAAGTTAGAACTCTGTTCAGTGAATATATTTCACATGCTACTAGATGAGATGTTGGAAAAAAGCAGAAGAACCAAATGGAGGTCTATCAATTCATGCTGGTGTAAATACTAACAAGAAAACTTCACAAAATATGGAAAATTTAGGGTAAAGGGCAAATCCAATAATAGGATATTGAGAAAACAAGCAAAAACCCAGGACTCTTCCAAGTGAACCAAGATGTAGAGTCACCCCACTAAGGTCAGTGTAAAGAACGTGGCTATTACTTCAAATGAGATGACTAAATGAAGATGGAAATTCACAGAGAGGGTTCTCAGTAGAGGAATAACATGATCCAAGTTTTACAGGATCACTCTGGCTGCTACTCTGAAAATAAAAGGCAGGGGAGAAGGGTAGCAAACCAACTCAGAGCCTTTGGCTATGATCTTGCATTGAAGAGAAAAGACAATAGCTTCCTATGAGAGAAATAAACGTGCATCCTTAAAAACCATTTATATACAGTTGGAGGAAAGAACAGTCAAATGTGAAATGAACCATAGGCTCAAACTTTCGGGTCCATGCAACCTGTGATTTCGCACCAAGTATACAAGCAGGAATCACAATATCAGAGATCAAAACACTGTATACAAAGAGTATGTACTTAATTCCTCTTACATTAATTCCATTCTCATCAAGCAACTGCCCAATTATAAAGTAGATTCATGTAGACTTACCAACAGGAAGGGAATATACGTATCAGCAAATACTATTCTCTGTTCTACTTGAATGGTTTTGGCTCTAACCAGAAAATAATAAACTGGATTTCTGTTTTTTTTTTATATATATATACAATCTCTTATGAGTTTAGTTTGTTTGTGTTGGTCTTCTAGAGTTTCATCATCTGTAGGTACACTAATAATTGAGTTTTATAACACATTCAACAGAGATCTAGAAAGTTGTGACCATAAAAAGTCACCCTGAAAAGACTTGTCTGAGCTGTCACTTGGCCTTGTCCAGGTGCCCCTCGGTCTTGGTGAGTGCCATTCCAGTTAAACTGCAACATGCAACTCTGATACCCAGAGAGTCATATCAAAATATTCCAAGTAAATTAGGGAATACTGTGTTACCATGCCCTTATTAGAAAAAGTTCAGTTCTCAAAGGTTTATTCTTCTATGATGATTTTCTCAATTCTCCTTTCCAAAAACCCCACCTTCAAGTTATCACAGAGGGATTTTTCTTTCTCTTTCCAGGATACATGATTCTCCTTTCACATCATTTTACGTAAGATACAATTAATTCGCAGAAAGGCACTCAAACATGTATGTTCAAGGTACTCCAATAAATGAAAAGTTACCGGCAAGGGACTTGGATCATTCTGAACTGAAACAGTCTCTGAAGCAAGGTTACTCTCCTTTCTGGAGTGCTGATCCAGGGGAAGAGGATCTGGGTTGGAGGATTCATCACTGTCCTGGAGGGTGGATCGCTCCAATTCCTCCAATAAGGCATCTGTATTATAAGACACAAGAGAATCATAATATAGAACATGGAAATATTCTTCCTCTAGGATGATTTCCCCCTAAATGTACCCCTGTGCCTCCATTTACCTCCTTCTTTTTTGGGTGAAGGCTACCTTCAAATATCTTCCCTTACTTTTCTTCAAGAATGTGGTCTATTCTCCCAAAAGCTGTATAGTGCCTCCACATACTGTGACCTATTTCCTATGGTTGCATCCAATTTCACAGCATCACTCAAGCATTTGACTTCTTATATTGCAGGGTATTAATTTTTATCATTTGTTTAGGGTGGATTGCCCACAAAGATCTCCAGTATGAAATAAGTAATTACAACTTTTCTAAATGCACCAGGACAGTAATGTTTATTCTTAACCCTGATTATGCTTTCTTGTGTCCCAAGCATGTATCAAAAATTTTAAAACAAAGTATATGTATTCTTTTTTTTAGGATATATAGGGGAGAAAAAGGGATCAGGGAAAAAACAGATATTGCAAAATCAAACAAGATGATGTTGCAATCCAAATACTTGAGACTTGTTTCTCCAGTAATTTTCTTAGGAAAAACCTATGCACTCGACAAGTATCACACTATCACTTTTCTGTTGTGATGAAATTAATAATAAAAATGTACACATTACAGGCACTATGCTCAGGAGGTTATATATTTCATTTAGTCATCCTAATACTTTAAGGCAGGTGATATTATCCTTATTTTGTAGATCAAGAAAGAGACAGGGGTTCTTGGGTGGCCCAGTCAGTTAAGCATCTCATTCTTGATTTTAGCTCAGGTCATGATTTCAGGTTGTGAGATTGAGCCCTGTGAAGCCTGCATAAGAGTCTCTTTCTCTTCCTCTACCTACCCTCTCTCTCTGAAAGAAAGAAAAGAAAAGAAAAGAAAAGAAAAGAAAAGAAAAGAAAAGAAAAGAAAAGAAAAGAAAAGAAAAGACAAATATGTAGTTTAAGGCACACTGCTACTGATGCAGACTTTGACCCTCGGCTATCTGATCCCAGCCCCTACACTAGCTTCAGGTCAAAAATGCCAGTCTCCATCTTCATGTGGATTTTCAGGGCCATCTTGGCACGATCTGCTCTTCTCTGAAGTTGTTTTTTCATCTACATAATGAGGAGATTCTATTACAATTTTTTTCAAATTGTGGGTTGATGCCCACTAGTGGATCTCTACTGGAATTTTTGCCACAGGTGATGGTTTTTAAGAGTTTGCAAAACAGTGGATTATATTATTTGACATTATTTGATTTCTGCAGATGAAGGGCTATGGGGAAATGCTTACCAATGAACATGATATAATATCTGATACTGCATTAAGATAATACAGGAGTGAAAGATATGAATGGGTGTATAATGAGATAAGATTGGTCAAGAGAGTAGCTGTATGAGCGGGCTCAGTTGAGAATATCAATGACAACCTAAGTAAATTTCACCCTAGATGATTCCAACAAGGTCAGAGACCAAAAAATGAAAACAAAGATGAGAACAAAATAAAACAAAAGGACAACTAAAGTGAAAAACAAATTTTAAAACAAAGTAATAAAAAATAAAAGGCCAAGAATCCCAAAGAAGAAGAAAAAAAAGGAAAAAAGAGAAAAAAGCAAAAATAAAAAGGAAAAGAAAGAAAAAAGAAAAAGAGAAGGAAAAAAAGGGTGGGATTGGGAGATGGTGGTGGTGATGAAGTTATAGTGAAGGGAGAATGTAGTCTACCTGAGGGGTCTTAGAGGGTGATCCTCTTGGTTCTGAGTGTATTGTTCTGTATGTTAGAAGATGCTCAGTCCCAAATTTATATAAAACAAAAATACTTGTAGAGGGCCCCAACATTGACCACAAAAACATAAATGAGATAAAAGAGGGGGGCAGAATGGGAATGAAGAGAGAACATAATCTCACAGAATGAACCAGCACGGTATACCACTTGGTTCTAGGCGCATGCTGGTCATGTTTTAGAAGGTATTAACTTCCACCCTTGTAAAACAAAATGAGGCAGAGAAAACAAAAAACACAAAACAAAAAAAAACATATCTTGTATATCTCCCAAAATTAAATTGAGTATGTCGAAGGGAATCTAGAAGTGGAAAATATATCTAGACCTGTAGTGAAAGGGATCATAGGGGAAAGGAGAGAAAATGAGTGGGAAAAATCAGAGAAGGTGACAAAATGTAAGAGACTCTGGAAACTCTGGGAAATGAACAAGGGGAGGTGGGCAGGGGGATGGGGTGACTGGGTGATGGGCACTGAGGAGGGTACTTGACGGATGAGCACTGGGTGTTACATGTTGGCAAATTGAACTCCATTAAAAAATATACAAAAAATATTATGAATATTTTATATTTATATTTTCATTGATTTGAGGGTGCATATATACACTTACATATATTTTTTACAAAACAATTACAACTTTGTTGCAAGATATTTTCTCACTTCATGTATCTTGGACATATTATTGTCAGTACAAAAAAAGCTTCTTTACTTCTCTTTAGATCTGTGAGATATTTTATTGTTTCAAAGTACCCTCTACTCAAATATAGATACCTTGAGGATGCCTGGGTGGCTCAGTGGTTGAGTCTGCCTTCAGGTCAGGGTGTGATCCCGGAGTCTCGGGATTGAGTCCCGCATCGGGCTCCCTGCATGGGGCCTACTTCTCCCTCTGCCTATGTCTCTGCCTCTCAGTCTCTCTGTGTGTCTTTCATGAATAAATAAAATCTTTAAATATATATATATATATATATATATATATATATATATATATACAGCTATCTTTTCTTCCATTGGTAGAGATGTGGTCATTTTCAGTTTCCAATTTTTTGGTGTTTCACTTTTATAATTTTTCAGTGTTACAAGTATTGCCACAATTAATTTTTAAGCATACATGTTTATATATTTAGAAGAGGATTTTTGTAGGATAAATTCCTAAAAGTGAATTTTCTGAACCAAATGATATGAATACATTTTATTATAGCAGAAAATGCCACATGATCTTCTCAAAAATCCACCAATTTACATGCCTTCCACATAGAATGAAAATACCGGTTTTGCCACCAAAAAAAAAAAAAAAAGAGTTGATGACTGCTTAAGCTGATTGATGACTATAGATTTCATTAAACTATTTTCTTTACTTTTACATATTTTAAAATTCCTCATAATTAAAGGTCCTTAAAAAAGAAGAAAAAAAAAGAAAAGAGGAAACTAATGTAGAAAGAGAAAGAAAAACTTGTTTTCTCATAGCTTTACTAGCCAGATTGAATGCCAATTTCTGGGTTCCAAATTTTTATTCTGTACCCCTCTATTAAGATACAGCCCTTTTCAGTTGTCTAACCTTTGCTCTAACAAGAAGTCATGTATCTTCTTGGACTCAAAATAAAAAGACATTGACAGTAAAGATTAGGGGAGAGGGGAGACCCTCTCTAAGAGAAGCAGACCATATCTCTAAGAGTAGAAGGTTACTAACCAGTGAACCAAATTTAGTGAAACTCTCCCCCCTGGGTCATGAGTTAACAGGCCTTTCTCTTCCTGTTTCCTAGAAGCGCACATAACACCAACACCCCAGATTATCTTGCTTTCTGCCAGATTCCGTAATTTGTAGATGACTAATTTCAGTATGACAAATGTGGGATTATGAGGGGTGGGGGCGGGGGGCAATATTAGACGGAAAACTCTGTAGTCCTTCCCTATAGCCCTTCATCTGCAGAAATCAAATCACGTCAACACGAAAGGAAAAAAGTGTGGCCTCCTGGGAGAGCCCAAAGGATTGGGGTGATTTCAATCAGAGCCAGAGTCTGCCTCAGGTTCCCCTTTATTTAGCATCTCCGAGTAAGGAAGGTTTAGGTAAAATCTGCTGGGTAGAAACAAACCACCAATGTTAGAGGAAGTACTGCAAAAAGGAAATATCTGCTTGCCTTTGCTGACCTGTCTTCCACCCTATTCTTCTGCAGCAGAGAAGAAAGACCCACTCTAAGTCTTTTGGGTAATTACTGAGCTGTTGACAATCTAAAGAAACAGTTGAGGTTCAGCCGCCCAGATATATTATATGAATGTTACCTTCCAGGCAGCTTGGTACTTTCCACATCTCTGTACCAGATTTATCTACTGTTCATCCTGTGCAAGCAGTGCAAAACTCTGCAAATCTAATTTTTAATTATCTGGGTTGTTCTATGGGTTGGAACACCTGAGCCAACACACTAAAATGGGAGAATGCCTTGTAGCTTAATCAGTTCTGGTGTCAGGGGTTCCTGCGAGTGATACTGAACACAGTTATTGTTTTTCTCAGTTTTTTCATTGAAAAAAAAAAGGATAATACCCACTTCAAAGAGTTGTTTCAGACACTAACATGATTAATATATGTAAAAATGTCAAGTTTTAGTTTAAGTCACTAAACAAGTATTACTTTCCTTCTGAATTAGCTGCATGAAAGCCATTAGGTATCGCTAAAATAAGAAAGAAGGGCTAGATTCTAGTGAGCTGGATTAGAACTCAGGCAGAAAGGTGAACGTCCTCGACTCTCACGCAGACTAAAAATCTGGATTCTACTCCAAATCCAAAACATGTTCTACCCCATGCATCAAAATAGACTTTACCTCCAAAACAATTCAGTATTTATTTATTTATATTTAATAAATCTTCATTAACATCTCTTCCCTCCTGTATTTTGCCTATCTTCTTTTCTCTGTTCCTCTAGTTCTCAAATTACCCTCCAAACAACTAACAACAAAAAAAGACAATACGCAAGATCTGCTTATAGTTGTTCACACTTTTGACATACCCCAAACATACAAAAACCCAGGACGCTCTGGAATTAATACAGCTTGGAAATTGAGTAAAATGTTAGTGACTCAGTATTAGTAAGGATGCCAGCAACAAAAGTCAGCAAAGGAAAGGGAATGAATCCCAAGAATGACAAACCTTCCATTACTCCAAAGACTGGGAATCAGAGATCTCTCCGAGAAATGTGGCCAATTGTTTCACTGCTGGTTTTAATTGTTTGAAATGGAAAGAGTATCATATTTGTAGGCCATAGTAATCTGTTCCTTCAGAATTCCTCTGACTAAAAAGCTTAGCAACAGAATCACTGGAGTTTTAAGCACTAATTCTCCTTGATTTAATACTAAACCATGGAACAAATGAAACCTCCCTGGCCTTTCTCCAACATTTACAGATGCCTCATTCTTGTTCTTCTGGTCCATTTCTTCTCCTCGTAATACCCCCTTAATCCCTCTCCTTTTTTTCTTTTTTTTCTTCTTAAATCACAAATCTGCAGGTGCCAACTATGCGACCACCCTATGACCAGCAACAGCCCCCGAGGGGCAAATACTCATAATAAAATGACGATCTCAATCATAAGTCAATCCAAAAATATGTGTGCAAAGTTTCCCCTGGTGAGCACCAATCTCTCCGCCAATTTGTGCCGCTGCAAAGAGTGAACCCAGAGTTCCCCAAAACAATCATAGTTCCTCCTGCTTCACTCTTGGTTGGGCTGAGGTCAGGAGAGAAGTGGAAACAAAATCTTCCAGCACCACCCTCCCTCTGGCTTCAAGTACACCCCACCACACGGAGATGGCAGCCAAGTCTTCATTCCCTTGGAGTTTCTCCTCCAAGATGGCCCTCACTCACCCAACTCTTCCATCGTCACACACCCAAGATGCTCTGGTCCCACAGGTTGTGAGGAAATGCTTTGGCATGTGCTGAACAAGAGGACCACAAAGGAACTGAATGAGACAGCGTGAAGCTGCCTCTATAACCCTTTTTGGTTCCTGTATTTGCCTAGCACTTCCTCTCTTTTGATTCGGTGAGTTTCTTTTCCTTTTTTTTCTTTCTTGCTTTTTTTTTTTTTTTTGTAAGTTAGGGTTTTGAAAATGGGACATATAAGGTGCATAGAAGGATTTGAGTTCTGTTAGTGCATTGGCCAGGGTGATAAAGATTCGAAATTAACTTCGAAAAAAATTGAGCACCTACTATGCGTCAGGATTCATCTTGAATTCATGGGACCACAGATTTGCACTTGCGTTGTTCCCCAATGTGGGTCTATGGCACTGTGACTGTGCATCAGAAAACCTGCTATCTGGGTGTGAATGTGTGTGTAAAGCCATGACTGTGGAAGCAGTTTCCTTCATAAAATTTCTATCAGAGTTAACCAGCACCCAATTCATTTTGCTATCTTTATTTACTGATTCAGAAATGATGCTTACCAGCTTCCTTGACTAGAGTGCAAATCCATTAAAAGTAGGGCAGAGTAGCAGTCACATTGGGATTTTTTCAGGGCTTGGTTATTTCTGGGGTCTAAAACACAACTATAGTGATCATGAAGAATAAAACCGGAAGACCAGACACAAGGTATCAAGCTGCAGATGTCTCAGGAAGCACAATTTCTGCCTAGTAATGTTGCCTAATAGCAGTTTCTCTGAAAAGGGATCCTGAGATTGACTTTCACCTTTTTTATCGCTGTGATTTTTTATCCACGTCAAATGAAATAAAACATTTACAATAGGCTTATTATGAGAAAGCAGTATGTAAAGAACTATAATTATGGCCCTCTGAAACATAATATTACTTCCATTTTTACCAGTGGTGAAATATATTCAAGGGATAGTAACTTGCTAAAGATAACGGAATTACAGATAGCTTTGCTATTTATTATAATCCAGATTTAGTTTCAGTGCCTGTGATCTTTCCTCTCTAACACTGAGGTCTTTTTTTTACGTTGATGTAAAGGAATCATTCATTCTCCCATTCCCCTGTGATGTTAAGATTTTTTTTTTTTTAATCAAAAGGAGATTCCCACTCTGCATTACTTTGAGCAGCCATTGGATGTCAGTGCTGTTCCAAAAGTCCAAATGGATTTGAAACAAATTCCCATCCACACCAATCCATACAGCTTTTACAACTGAAATGCCACTAGTCCCGTTGAAAGTGCAAAATGCTCGATGGCGAATATAAGACATTTGCCAAATCTTAAGTGGTAACTGAGCCAAAACACTGAAAGGAAAAATGCACTTCAGCACTTGGCTTGCAAATATTAGACTCCATCTGCAGCTTAAAATGAATGATTAATGTGAAATTTAGAATTGGATCCCCAGGTCTTGTTTTCATCCGCTTGGGGGGCGGGGTGTGTGTGTGTGTGTGTGTGTAAGCCCCAGATGCTTCATTTTTCCAGGGGTAAGAACCACTCTCTGATTTTAGTGCATGAAAGGAAGAAATGAAGGCATGCTGGAGGCCCACTGCTGTCGTGGAATGCAACCTGGAAAACAAATGGAAAACTCCCATTTGACGCATTAGGATAATTTAGCTGCACGCGCTGGTGGACATAAAAGTAATTTGTGACAAAGCTGCTGTTCTGACTGTGCTTCCTGTGCAGCAGAAACATTTAAAACCACAGAAGCCGAGTGGTTTCGAGGCAGGAGGCACGAAGGAGGCCTTTGGTTTCTGAGTAGGTCGCAGAATCACGCTAACAGGACCACCACCCACCCCCCCACCCCCCCCCCCCCCGCCGCTGCAGCCCCGGGGACTACAGCCAGGTCAAAGCACCCGACGCCAGCTACTGGGCACCGACATCTAGCAGAACAGTAGCTCTACAATTCTTTCCAGGCTTTTATTAAGAACCAAGTGATTGATCGGTGGGAACTGCGCTACGCCCCGAGCACCCGACGGATCCAGATTCGGTCCCTGACCTCCAGGAGCTCACAGGGTAGGGAGTTACAGGATGACGAGGCGAATACTGCAGGCGTGAACCCTAGGAGGTGCGAAGTAACCAATCCAGACAAAGCGCTACTAACGCGGCCACCCAAGAAATGTCCCGTCTACGCCAACTTAAAAAGTCGACAAAAACCGTCCCAAGCCATCCCGACCAGCAATCCACTCGCCACCTCGGCCAGGATCTGTGCGGTCGCCGCGGCCTAACCCGGAAACACTACCACCCTGAAAGAGCAAACAGCCACTGCAGAAAGAGCAAACTACCTTTCCCAGCGTGCATCAGTCAAAACCTTCCCGGCATCCTCTCCGCCTCCGGTTTCTAATCTTTTCCCCCCTCCCGCCCCCCGCCCAAGCTTAGGCTCTTTAAGACTCCATCTCCCAGGATGCCTTTTGACAAGTTAACCCGGCGCATGCGCCAAGAGGCGGGCCCTCCTTGCCCTCACGACCCCGCCTCTGTCCTACCGCCGCCATTTTTTCAGAGACTTTCATCCGGCTGCCGACGGGGTTTTTTTTCTTAAAGGAGAAGCGACAACTCAAAAAATTTCCCCCTTCGTTCCCGCAAGACCTGGCGGCGCTGGGGACAGAAAGGCCACAGACAGGAAAGTGGGATCGGGGTGGAGGCAGAAGAACGCCGAGGCTACTTCCGCGGCTTAAGAAAGAAGGATAGAAAGAGCCTTGTGGCATTAGCGGCTCCTTAGGGAGGCAGGTGCGCGCGCAGCCAGTCCGGGGTGCGCGCGAGGCGGGGAAAAAGGTGCGTTTTCCTCCCACCAGTCTCCTCGCGGGACCTGCTCCTCCCACTGCCCCTAGCGCGCGCTGAGCTCGTGGCGCGTGGGGGGGGTGGAGGAGGAGGAAGGTCACTTTAGGATTGTCGCGAGACGCAGCCGTTTAACGGTGAGAACGGGTGCGCGGGGAAGGAAACCTCGCGCGCTCCCTTAGAGCCGTTTCCTGATTGGCTAAGGAAGGGGTGGGGGAGGGAACGCGGGACGTCGCTACGTGAGAGACGACGAGGGGCAGGGCGAGGAAGCCGTCCCTCCTCTCCCATTGGTCCGCTGAACGTCTGTGGCGGGCGGGCGCGCGCGCGCCGCCGGCGGTAGCGGGCCTTGAGTGGCAGGGGGCGGGGGGGGCGCCCTCGGAGCCGGGCGGAGGGGAGGGGGGGAAGAGGAGCGCAGAGTGAGATTGAGCCGCACGCTCCGGGAGGCGAAGGGGGCGGGGGGAGCAGCGCCGCGGCCGCCGCCGCCTCCGCCTCCGCCGCCTGGGACGAGGGGGTGGGGGACGGACGAGCCCCGATGCCGGGGGAGACGGAAGAGCCGAGACCCCCGGAGCAGCAGGACCAGGAAGGGGGAGAGGCGGCGGCGGCCAAGGCGGCTCCCGAGGAGCCCCAACAGCAGCCCCCTGAGGCGGCGGCGGCCGCGGCGCCTGCGGGGACCACGAGCAGCCGCGTGCTGAGGGGAGGTCGGGACCGGGGCCGGGCCGCTGCGGCCGCCGCCGCCGCCGCCGCCGCTGTGTCTCGCCGGAGGAAGGCCGAGTATCCCCGCCGGCGGAGGAGCAGCCCCAGCGCCAGGCCTCCCGACGCCCCAGGGCAGCAGTCCCAGGCCGCGAAGCCCCCGTCTCCAGCTCAGGGCAAGAAGAGTCCGCGACTCCCGTGAGTAACGCAGTGTTTCAGGCGGTGGGAAAGACCCCCCTGTGTCCGCACGCAGCCCTCCCGGCTCCCGTAGCGCCCGCTCCACGTGACATCCTGCCTGCTCTGCCCCCTGCCGGCTCGCACGCCAGATGTCACGCCGCTCCCCCGCTCGCGGTCTGACGGCTCCTCTGGGGCCCTCCCCGGGCCCCCGCCTGTGGGGCCGCTGCCCCCTCCCTGAAGTCGCCCCTGCTGCGGCGCACCTCTCCTGCCCCTCGGTGGCCCTCCCCTTCCCTGCCGCCGCCGGCTTCGCCCGCACTCTGGCATCTGCGCTCCCTTTGTCAGCCTGTCCCTGCCCCTCGGACGGCGGCTCTCCACTATTACATCACATCCCCATTAGGAAATCAGCAGCACGATCTTAGCCTTGGAAAGTGCGTGCGCCCCCCTCCCCTCCCCCCCCCCCCCCCCCCCCGCTAATTAGCTCCAGAACCCGGTGGTACTAGTAGCTTCACGGAGCTTTTACCGCCCTCCTGAATTCGCACGTCCCGTTCACTTGTTTTAGAAATCTGGTACTTAGGGTAAAAACGTGGCTCTGCCGATTTTAAGTGTAGTCTTTCATACAGAATTAGCCAGGTGATTTTTAGCGGTTTTGTTGGTCTTTTTAGGTTTTTCTTGTGCTTATGTTTAAATGTAGGAACTTCATCGTTAAAAATGAGGCTGCGAAAGCTCTCAAAAGAATTATTTTATTCTCTAGAGACCATGGAGGGAGCAGGAACATATATATTTTAAGTTGTTAGTATTAAAATGTCCCTGTGTTGACAATCCTGCAGTGTATGCGTTTGTAAATTGTAGAAATTAATCCTATTAGCCCTTGAGCTCGTTACCGAAAACGTCATTTGTGTCTTTGGGCTTACTTTGAAGTGAAAAAATACTCGTAAAGGGGGAAATTGGAGCGGAGGGAATCCTAAATTTAAGCGCCCCCTCCCGTAGAGATTATGCCAAGATTTGACTTCCATCACATTTAGGACTTGAAACACACCTGTTCCAAAATTAAGAATTAAGTCTGTGACTCGCATGCTTGCCTTAGAAGCTTCTCAGAGAGTGAAAATTCAAAGGTATATTGCAGTATTACATGTGCTTCAAATTTTGGAATGTTACTCATGATTTATAAGTACAGGTTTTTGTTGTCCATAGAACTGTAGTTTACACAATAAATTCTCTAAATTGTGTTAACTTAAATAACATTCCAAAACGATTTTTTTTCATTTCTGTTGCTAAACCTGGGAAGGTTAATGACTTAATATATTTTTAAATCCCCTTCCATCCTTACCTGCTCATTCTACCACTTTTTTACTTTCAGAAATGATATCTTAAGATAATGACACCTAGTGCAGTAGTTTTTTCCACTTTGTAGTTTTTTTTTCCACTAACTCTTGGCAAAAAAGTGCGTATGAGTCTTTTTACATCCACAATATTAAAACCGTTGGACTTGGATGAAGATGACTTAATGAAATTCCTTCCGTTTTTTTCTCCATATTATTCCCTGTGGGGAGAGGGATACAGTCTTAATTCTTAATGTCCCTCCCTTTTGCATCCAGTATCATAAAAGATAGTAGTGTTCTTTTACCTTCTTCTTAGCCTCAGAGCTATCTGTTGATTGCTTATTTTAAGTTCCGTAGTTTTGATCGGATTGTTAAAATTTTCATAGTGATAACTTATTTGTTACGTGTTTTCGGTTTATTTACTGCATGCCCTGGAAATAAAAGGAGTTCTAAAGCTTTTCAGCTGGGTAAATTAGGATTGAGCAGTAACTGGGCCTGGTACTGTGCTAGGCTAGGCTTTATAAAGGTAAATGAGACGTGGTCCTTGTCTTCAAGGACCTTGCAGTATGAGGGGAAGATGAATTGATTATAGTGGAGGTTTGTCAAACATGTATGCATGATTTACAGATTTTCAGAGCGATAAGCTTTAATTATGAAATTTAATCCTTTATGACATTTCATGAGATTTTGAGTATCAGTTTACTGAATCCTGGTCAACTACCTTCTGACATCCTTCATTTTCATAATAACATGAGGCAGTTTTTAAAAAGGAAGTAGAAGATTTATCTAATTACTTGTTCTGTCAAGTTCTTTTACCATATCCCATTTCTTCTATAGATTCTCAGTAATAACTGTTTCACCTACATTTGTTTCTCTTGATTTAAGTGACAACAAAATTTACAGTAGAAAGTTCAATGAGTACAGAGATTTGGATTGATTGAAACCTCTTTTTCTACTAGAAGGCAAAGTAGTGCAGTGGAAAAAGCATTGGACTATATAGTCAGAAAGTTTGTGGTCCCAGCTTTCACTAAGTGACCATCGGGCAAGTCACTTAAGCTCTTTAAATCTGTGTCTTCATCTGTAACTGGTAATTTATAATTGGTTGCAAGCATAGATGTGTATGATAAGTAGGTTACAGTTTTTGTATACATCTATGCCTGTTAACAGCGTTTTCATTTGCATTGAAACTTTGAAAAGAACAGGAAATCTTTGTGAAAGGAAATAATTTTTTAGTGAATTTGCTCCAGAGAAAAGGATAAAGTTAATGCTAAAATCATTTTAAAATAAAACTTACAGGCTCATAGTAAGGAAAGATAGACCAAATTTGAAGAAAGGTTATATATCAGTATTTCTTAAGAATTGGGCTCATCATATAAACATCATAAACCAGATGTTTATATACATACATATTTTATTTTAAATACATATAGTACTAACTTTTTCTGATTCATAAAGTTAAAACATTTAATATGGGAACTATATGGTAAACTAAGACTAAGTTAAATTGCAAAAAGGCTTCTTTTTTCATTCTACCATGATAATAAGTCCTTTGCATTTCATATCCAATGAATTTCTTATAAAACCTTATAAATACACGTTTAAACTTCCAATTTATCTATTGAGTAACCCCTTATTGGCTAAAACTGAATATTCTTGAACCTACAGGTTCAAGTGGGTTACAAATGAAACTATTTGGGTTACAAATAGTGCTTTATTTCCTGGGATGTGAAATTCCATTTTTTGCTTTATTTTCTTGTTTAAGGTAAAATGATAGTAAACCTTTGGGT